CTCACTATGAATGCCAGTTTTCCTTTTCAACTTGTTCTACTCAGTTAAAATGAAACTATTATCCCTCTAGATGGAACTTCTTACTCTAACTGTTCAAGGTCTTCAAGATACCAAAGAGGGATCATGCACTGGGAAGGAAGATCCTCACTGGATGACACCCTACTGCCCTGGTTCTCTTTTGCCTGGATTTGTAGAACCTAAGAGTTGACAGTAGCCTTATAAATTGTCTAGGACAAACCTTTCAGTTATTGCCCTCATCACTTGGACCTCGACTTCTTCCTTACTGCTCAGTTTCCACTCAACTCAACTCCTGGCCTTCTGTCTTGGCCTTTCATTCATTCATTCATTCAACATGCGTTCATTGAGTGCCTTTGCTGTCTTGGGCTCTGTTCTTTACGCTGAGGCTACTGCAATGAACAAGACAGACCAGGTCTGTTTTCTCATGGCCTTCCGATTCATTCATTCCAAGGACTGGACTCCCGCCTCTGTATGGCTTATGACCGTTCATCTCAGTTGTGTTTATCTCACTTTTCAGGGGGCCCAGCCTCACATCAACCCCTCATGGTCATGTGCTGCCAGCACCTCAAACCCAACACATCTTGGACCGAACTTACTCTCTTCCTCCCCAACCAGTTCTTTTGTCTGAATTCTCCGTTTTGTCTATGCTGTTGTCATTTCCCAGTCACCAGGCACAAAGCCTTGGAGATACCCTAGTTGATTCCTCTTCCTCAACCCCAATACATCACCCAGTTCGGTCTATTCTACTTCCTTCTGGAAAAATGCTTTTCATATCTGTCATTTCCTTTTCTTACCCACTGCCATGTGCCAGGTTCAGATCTTTATTTTGAACCTGGGCCATTGTGCCTGTTCTCTGCATTCACCTCCTCTTCTAGAGCACCCTCGTCGTTGCTGCCTGATTAATCTTAAGGTAGAGAGTACTGTGGATGTTATGTAAAGCAACTTTTTCTATCTTTCCAAAATACTTCTTCCAAAACCATCTCCCTGCCACCACACCCCATAAATGTGACATGTTTTAACCTCCTTGGTGTGACATGCACAGCCATCTGTGATCTGGCCTCCTCTCTCCTTCTCTGAGGACGTGTCCTCAGGGTGTTTCTACACCACCACCACAACCCTGAGTCCCCATTCTCCTCCCTCGGTCCAAGCTTGAAACTGCTCCCCACCTTCCCAGTGTTGAGAACAACCTTGATTTTGGAGTCAGACACACCCAGTTCAAAACCTCGTTCTGCCAATCACAAGCCACAAAGCTCTGTGTTCCAGTTTTTTTATCAACAAAATGTGGGGAGAGTTGTGAGACCCAAATGAAATAATGCCAAGATCATAGTATGTGATCATCTCAATGGCAAGCCTGTGTGGCAAGCAGCTGGGATTGCAAGCTATGTTTCTAGTAATGAAAGTCTCTAGTGGGGCCAACATAACTTGGTGCACCTGTAGCCTCAGGCTTCCAGTGGGGCAGGGACCCCCAGCCGCGTGCTTTCCTGCTCTGTGCGATGGCTCCCACTCCTGCCTGAGTAACACTTCTTCACAGAGGCCTTCCCTGGCCCCATCTAAACTCCCTGCACACATCTAGTTAGTGTTTATACTCCTACCTTCTTTATTTTCATCACAACACTTTTCACTATGTGAAATAATCTGGCTTTCTTGTCTTTGGCCCCAGAAAGTGAGGTCCATACCTGCAGGGTCTTGGTCTCATTCCTGATTCTGTCCCAGCCCCATAAACAGTGTCTGATAGAATTGAACAAATACATAAATGAATGAATCTCTCTCTGATGTGTTGCCATCCGTCAGACCCAGCCCAGATTCTTCTTCCCATGAAGTCTTGCAAATATTCCAGTCCACAGTAACTTGCCCTCATTCGAAGTCCTATAATAATTCCTCATCTAAATTCAGTTGACTCCCTATAGCAATTGCCGATGCCATGTTCTGCTGTGACATTTCTTGTATTTTGGATCTGATTTATCATTCATATCTTGTATTATTATTTACATTTCCTGAATCAGACTAAAAACTCCTTGAGGCCAAGAAATGCTTTTATGTATTTCCCTAAAATTCCTTAGGACAATACTTTCCTGTTCCCTAATATGTACCTGGCATGATGCTAGAAGCCAGAAATGCAATGATGAATATAGCACTGTCTCTAAATATTTACCTAGGTGATATTATTCAATTATCTCAGTGCATACTAGCAAGAGATGGCTCTTGCCTCTCTTAGAAGTCATTAGCAGACCTGGTCCAAACAGAGACTGCCCTGTGTCTGCTGGATAACCTCAGGTGGGTAACTTAAATTCTAGGAGCCTCTCCTGACATGTTAAACAGAGATAATAATATTTATCTTACAGCATTATGAAAGAGATAATATATATGGAAACACCTTGTAAATGGCTAACTGCTACATAAATATTGGTTGTTATTATTGCCATTCTAATAAAAATAATTTAAGCTGAAATTGGAGCCATTGTGAATAAAATACATTCAGTAATAATGTCCATTTATTCCAAAGATAATAGGAAACCTGATTCTGTCTGTCACAGCATACTGGGTGACAACCTTTGAGTAGGATTGCACGTTGCCAAATTCCCCACTAGCCCAGCGTGCTGGGGTGTGACCACTGCCACCTAAGAGGGAATGTCTGGGCCACACATACAGCTTTACCTACTGCTGGAAATCACAAAAGCCTGCGGGGCCAAGAGCAGAAGGCTCTAGACCATCCGAAGTAGTTTTCTAGGTTCCTGACAGAAAACTATTCTTAAAATGCCCAGATGTCTGCCATTAAAGTCTACCTGTGGTGGCCTGCTGGGTTTCAGTGACACGTGTGGGCCTGGTGGTGCCACTGTGCTTACGGCCAGCCATTGGATCGATACCAGCGTGACTCTCGTGGGAGGGCACATATTCTCGTTCAGATTTGCATACTTCTCGGTGAGTCGCAGCCTTTCCTGCCCAAAACTCAGGCCACAGCTTCCTGCTCCAGGACCAGCCCTCACTCTCAGATTGGCTTTCCCGTCTGTCTGTTCTGAGTCAGGCAGTCCTCCCTTCCTGCCCCGCCCTCCGCCAGGTCCCCAGGGCTTGCTGCTTCAACACACGTCACCAGTGTGGGGGGGAGGCAGGTCCACAGGTGACATCATCTGTTTATAAGCAGCTTCCACAAATCACCTCCCACTGGAAGTCACAGAATCTCAGAGATGGAAGTAAGGGCCCCTCCTGGGCAGGGCAGGACTGCCCTCCAGAGCCTACATGGCAAAGGGTCACTTGGGCTCAACTTTAAACATCTGGATGAATCAACAGAGCATTTCCGACCCCGCCTCTGAGCCGACACCTGCAACAGCTGGCTGCTGGGTGGATGCCATGACAGAGCTCACCAGTCACTGGGTCACTGAGGGAGCAGCAACCAAGAAACCAAGCTGCAATTTTCCAAGATCCTGGGTGTGCCCACAGAGCCCCGAGTGTGCTCTCCCATGGGTGGTGGTGACTTTTAAAGCAGTAGAGCATGACTCTGAGTGTGAGGGCATGACTTGGGACAGTCACGGCAGACAGGTCCTGGTTCGAATCTCATCTTCCTCAATCACCATCTGGGGGCCTTGGACATTTACTAACTGTGTGATTTTGAACAAGTCACTGGAACTCTCTGAACCCCCACATATTAATATAAATAATAAGAGTCTTTATTTTAAGATTATTGTGTGGATTAAGTGAGTTAATATATGCAAAGTATTAACTTTGCCAAATAAATGGTAGCTACTGTTACTATTATTATCACCACTATCTCTTCCTTTCTGAACCCAGCAGACATCATGCAGCGGATGCTGGTCTCCTATTTCGTCTTTCCTGAAATGGGTGGGTAAAATGTATGCCAGTAGAGCTGGGCTTCTGACCTGCTCCGGATGACAGCCCCCCACACACCCTGCCACCGCCACAGCCACCATCCCTAGAGAATGAGATTACCGTGTCTGAGCACAGTTCGGCACACCCCAGAGACTCCCAGAAACTCATGGCCCCTGGTCATGCCTCAGTGCACAGATGAGACCTGGAGAGGGTGGTTTCTAGTCTCCTGGAAGTCTCGGTTTGGGAGAAGTTTCCTCACCCAGCAAGCATAGCAGTGAGTCAATGCTCCTCCTTGCCAAAATAAAAGACTCAGTTGGCCTGATTCCAAAGCCCTCAGGAATTGCCAATCCAAACACAGCTGCCTGCACCTAGTAGACAGGAGGGTGGGCACCTCAGTGGTAAGGCTTAGAAAGCCTCAGGCGGGACCAAGGGGAACATTGAGGGCCATAAGCCCTGGAGTCAGTTGTTGAGTCTTCGCCAGGCACCCACTGAGTAACTTTGAGCAAGTTACCTAACCTCGGTTTCTCTTCCATAAAGTGGGTATAACAGTATCCACCTCAGTGAGTCATTATGAGAATTAGAAGCTGCTTCTCGATGTAAAGCCCTTGGAATACTGAAAACAGTCAGTATGTGATCACTACTACCATAATTAACTACCAGAAAGCCACGTTCTTGTTCAGGCATGAGCTGTAGTTTTCTGCCTTTCACAAACTTGCCAAGGCTTTTTACCCAGCCTGAGTGAGAGGTAGTGGATGAGGCAATAGAACGAGGTTAAACAAATACAACACAAGTGAAGGAACAAATAGGCAAGCAGCTGTCAGGAGGTAGACACTTTAATATGACATCTTCAAAGAACAGTCAAATCGGCGGGCATTTACTGAACGCCTGCTGTGTGCAAGCCCCTGCAGACAGCAGGGTGCAGCGTCCCACCCATGGTTCTCTGATGCCCCGGAGAGAGAAGTCACACGGGGCTCAGGGGGGTTTTGTGGGGCTCGAAACTAGGATGGGTTTCTGAACACCGAAGTGCGGTTAGCCGTGCGGGGCGGGGGGCAGCTCTGAGGCCCCCCGGGAGCTGTGGTCACTGCCGGGAGGAGAAGCGGGTGGGGAGGCGTGGGCCCGGCGCGTCGCCCTGGCGCAGCTCTGGGGGGCGGCGGGCCGCGTCAGCAGCTGCCCGAGCAGCAGCCGGAGCCCGGGTTGCAGGAGCGCTGGGACCTCTGGCTGCCGCCCCCGCAGCAGCCGCAGCAGCCGCTCCGCTGCCGGCGGCGCCTCAGTGGAAAGCAGCAGCAGCCGCCGGAGCCCGAGCCGGAGCCGCAGCAGCCCGAGCTACCGCAGCAGCCGCCGCCGGAGCCGCAGCAGCCGTCACAGCAGGAGGAGGAGGACGGGGCGGGCGCGGGCGCGGGGCACGGGGCGGGGCCCTGGGAAGACCCCTTGGAAAAGCCCTTGGCGGCAGCGGCGCTCTGCTGGGAGGACATCGCGGCTCCTCGCGGCGAACCTGGAAGAAAGGCAGCCTTTCAAACACCAGCAGACTTTTTTCCTGCAAAACAGGAGAACTGCGGGCTTCTGAGATGTGGTTTAGCGTCCACCATCCTGGCCCCGTGCAAGGGGGGGAAAGCACCCAGAAAGAAGGGAAGCAGAGAAACAAATCCAAAACAGGTGTTTCCAGTAAGTTAAACGTGCATGGAGCATGTTTAGGCAAACTAGTCTAGGCAAAGAATCAATGGCTTTCCATTTTCTCTGACTAGAATAAGGACCGCCCACGTTCTCCTAGGTAAAGAATAAAGAGGGTAATGTGGCCATTGACCTGTGTGATCCAGCCCAAAATCTTCTCTTGTCTTTGCCTCTACCTCATTTCACTTTGGCCACAGACCTTCAAGTGATATTCTCATGGCTACTAGCATCGTATAAAACACCCCATCTGTTAGAAAATATCCATATCACACCTGCGTCTGTACCTCCTGGGTCTAAAGAATGTGCAAATGCCAGAAGCATGTCCTGGTCATTCTTTCGCATTTACGCCTCTCATCCCCCACAACCACAAGGAGGAGGAGAGTGGTGCAGATGATAGAAATAGTCCTATCCGAGAACCCGAGTTCTGGTCAGTGCTCTTACAGACTTGCTATGTAAACTTTCAAAAGTCCCCATCTGGCGTCCGTGCCCTCATTAGTACCATGAGAGGTTGGCTCGGTTGAAGCCGAAGGTGCTTTCCAGGGATCTCCCTCCATGGTTACATGCTGGCTATGTTCTGTCTTCTCTCCTCCCCTGTCTTCAACTCTCCCCACTGTCCTCCCCCAGACCCCGCTTGGAGACTTACCAGACGCTGGCTACACTGGAAGACTCACTTAGTTCTCCAACTGGAACAGGCCACCTTCCAGGCAGTGGACTGAGCAGTGTCCAGCCACAGAACCTTTTATAAGATTGTAGGCAAGTTCCAGCTCTTGGGAGGGGCCCATTGCCCAATAGAGATGCTCAGCTGACACTCACATCCCAGAGACATTCATCACTCAGGTAGCACTGTAGGTGGTGCACGTGGACGTCCAAGTCACTTCACAGAGGTGCCAGGATTGCTCTGGCATGTTTACTTTCCAAACAGGACACTGTTCATAGCTTGGAGGGCTGCGTATGAGCTGAGGGTAGGCACGGGGCCCCTTCTGCCCTTGGCTACAATGCACACACATACACACAAACACACACATGGCTCCACTTGCCCACACACCCATTCCTGTGTAAGTCATCTCCTTGGTAGTTAGTGGTCCGCTTACTTGTTATCTTGGTTTGTATCTCTCTGCCTCTTGGGCCTCATCTCCCCAGGACAGGCCACAGGCTATGCGATAAGCCTGCTGGGTTTCATCCAGATGCTTCCAGAAGGAGTTGAGTAAAGATGATGGTGAGGATGCATACGGGAATCCCAGTGGTGATTTCTCCCTGTCACTGGAGACAGAAAGAAAAACCCAGGCAAAGTTCAGGAACCATTAAGACCTAAAAAGCTGTGAACGTAGTCAGGTTATCATATCCCCATAATTCAACATAGGGGGCTTAAGAGAATAATGTATGCAGGACACTGGCCAAATTGCAAACAGGCAAGCCAGCCTGTGGGACCCTCAACTCTTACCCTGTGCCCTGCCCCCCCCCCCAATCTCCCTTTGAAGATAGGTTCTCGCTATGGCCACCGCCCAATGGAAAAGAAATGAAAGAACAAAGGGAAACGAAGAGGAAGGAAGGGAGGCAGGAAGGTAGGGAGAGAAGGACAAAAAGAGAAAAAAAAGTCCTGTTTGAAGGCCCAAAGGATCATGATAAACAGTGTTTTTAGAATAACTAACTTTTAAGAATTGGAGAAGACTTTAGTGATCAACCAACTTCTGAACTGCTTCTTAACCATGCAACTTCCCACAATCATAAATGTGAGATATAAAAGGAGTGCAATAGTAAGAATTCACAAATTAATGGCGAGAGACAGGTTTGGGAGTGGGTGAGCTGGGAGCAGCATGAGGGAACGGATGAGGAAAGGTAAGTCACAGAAAATGCCAGTTTCATTTAACGTGGCTTTAGAGCCTGATTAACAGGTTGCCCGTACCTAGAGCTCCTGTTGGTGAGTATAGATGAGACATTCAAAGAAGTGAGGTCAGTGTTAGAAAAGAGAAGGAAGTGATAGTAACAAGATGGAGGCAGGATCTCCTCTGGGAAATAGTGTGAAGTTTTTTTGGGTGGGGGGTTGTGTGTTCTTTGTTGATTTTTTTTTTTAAGAGTGAAGAAGGAGGTTTGATAGGAATCAACATGAGGGGATAATTTGGGCAAGTGCCTGCTCGTGCTATGGACTTGCTATGGACTCATATACTAACTTGCTTTACCTATCATTCTTAAATCTTATCAATGGAGGACCCAATTGCTTATCTTATATATAAAAGGCTGATTTGGAATTATCTTTTTTTATCATAAACCTTATGAGTATCTCCTGAAAGAACCACCCCATTCCTGAAAGAATGCCAACCGGAACCCAAAACAGTGACCAAAATCCCCCTGCTCTCACACACACAATGGATCATAGAAGCCCAAAGTAACTTCCTTCCAGACACCAACCACATGCACAGTCTTTGGCAGAGGAGGGTGTCTTCTTGGTTCTCTACTCAGACCCAAATCCAGGCTTTCAGGATGCAGGGAAATGTACTCAGACATTTCACACCTGCCTCCTAAACTCACTCTCCTAGAAACTACCGCTCCCACCCCCAGCTCTCCTCTCTAGCCAACTGATGGAAGCACCTGGGATTACATTAAATAATAATCAGAAAACTAGTGTCCATTCACTGGAGCCCAGAATGAGCACTTTAGGCAGTCTTATTCCCCATGAATAGGAGAAAAACTATGTTTCAAACTGTGACCCATACTTCAAGGAAACCCTTCCAAAATGTGACCTTTCTGGGTACCACTGTCCTCTTCTCTTCAAACTCATTGCTGATTCTCCTCGTGTGAGCTTGTGTCAGGAGTAATGGTCCCAGACATTATTCTTTCCTTCAAGCTTCAAGTTCCCAAATTCAGAGCACAAAAGGGAATATTGTTTTCCAGAGGTCTAAGTAGTTTCAGTGCCAAATTGTGCTTCCCAAACAGATTTTTTAAGTGTTCACTTGCCCTTAAAAGAAGGGAAAGGAAGACGGCTTGATATGGTGTTAGGCGAGGAGGCGGACAGATCGTAATCAGAGGCAGTGACATCAGGAATAAAGTTTTATTGTGACAGGGAAAAGAGCTTCATAACTGAACTTTAACACCTCATCCTCCAAAGAACTGTGCCTGAGAGGAGAAAGCAGACCAGTGAGTGTGAGGTTAAACCTCTAGGCCCCACAGTGGCATGAACACGGGCAGGATGCAGGGGGAAACTCGAAGCATTCAGAATCCCTTCCATGGGGAAACAGGAGGAAAGAAGCCTCAGCCTGCCGCAGGTCTTCAGAACTCTGGCTCTGCCAGGACGGCTCCTCGGCGCTCTTCATGGCCCAGGTCAGCAGCAGCCCCCGGAGCAGCAGCCGGAGCCCCCACTGCCACTGCCACAGCAGCTGGAGCCCCCAGACTGCTGGCCACCGCCACTGCCACAGCAGCTGGAGCCCCCAGACTGCTGGCCACTGCCACTGCCACAGCAGCTGGAGCCCCCACCACTGCTGCCACAGCAGCTGGAGCCCCTAGACTGCTGGCCACCGCCACTGCCACAGCAGCTGGAGCCCTGGTGTCTGCGTCGAAAAGATCTTCGGGGCCTGTGGTGGCTCAGGCAGCAGCCACCACCCCCAGAGCTGCAGCAGCCGCCACCCCCAGAGCTGGAGCCACAGCAACCGCCCAGGCTGGAGCCACAGCAGCCCCCAGAGCTGGAGCTACAGCAGGAAGAGACTGGAGGGGGGCACGGGGCTGGGCACTTTGGAGGACACTTGGGAGGACACTTGGGAGGGCACTTGGGGGTGCACTTGGGAGGGGGCTGGCACTGCTGCTGGCTCTGCTGGCAAGACATCTTAGCAGAAGCTGAATGAAGCTGAAAGACAATAAAATCCCAAGGTAACTTCCTTACATTTAAAATTGAGCTATGAATTCACAAGACTTTCTCTATGATGATCCGATTTTAAACACCCAATCTCTCAAGACAAGTTTCAGGAACTATACAGATGGTTTCTACCTAGGGAAGAAACCATATTTTCAAATGAATTCCTTAAAACTTCAAAGAAAAAGACACCAATCCCACCTTCCCTTTACTTACCTTCCACCCTCCCCTTCCAGAAGAACCCTCCCATCCAAATTGTCCTATCTCCTTGTCTGTCTTCAAGATTGTCCTCAACCTCAACCTAGGGCCTCTTTCTGCCCAAAACACCAACACCAAGAGAGTCCATCCTGTTCCCAACAAACATTCTACCTGGTTCAGGCACTGGAGCAGATCACCCAGGAGGCAGGTGGACTGAGGTGCTGTCAGAAGCTTCCAACTTTTATATGCTCAGCTCTGGCATCAGGACACGTAGACCATGTGCAAGGTGGCATGCTGGGAGCATCTTTCATAAGAGGCATGGGTGACTCCCTCCCCTCATATCCCAGGAGCCCAATTTCTTCCTCCATAAGCATCTCAAGTATTGATGCTCAGGAAGATTCCCTGAGAATTGCAGGCCTCTAGGATGGTGATGGAGCTCTGTGGATCGCGCACAGCACCTATCAATCTCACAGGCAGCTCTGCTATGCTCCCTGTTTCCTGAGCTGATCCAGAACAGTTCTATACCTTTGGGATGAACAGAAAGTTCGTTTTCTCCTTGGTATAGGGATTAGAGAGGAAAAGTCACAAGATAGAAATTAAATGGCCCTTTTTAGAATAAGGATAGGAATCCAAAATATTAATAAAATCTCAGGCCCAAGCCAATAATCTAGTGTTGCTTTTTTTCATTCTTAGATGATGCCATAACCTGAATTAAGAATGCTTGATGTGTCAATGATGTTATTTTAGGCAGGTCTAATGCAGATG